CCCTGTTCATGGAAAACACATTGTATGTGTGGTAAGGCTATTCATACAAGCAGTCACTGTTTTTGACAATTATTGATAGGCATATTCAAATTATTGGGAGGCACTCACTGGTTGTGGCAATTGTCAAAATTTCCCATTTTATAGTATTCAAGTTCTTTTACAGGACTGTAATTGTGAGCTGTGAAACCTTGCCAACTATAACTTATTAAGTAGTTTCTATATAAAAGTGAAGAGAGTCTGCAAGTATTAAAAAAGTAACTTCTAATTAAAATTACTGTGGTCATCTTCAGTGAAACAACCCTTGCCATGGGCACTTAAAGTCTGCATTAATTACTTTGTGCTGAGGGACATGTACGGCCAGCGAGGCTTGCAGACAAGATTAATTTGTCTGGTTCAGAACCCCCATGGTCCCAACCTCTAGAGTACAATGACTTTGGTTCCTGATCTCTCCACCAATAAGATTTCCTGAAGCATGCAGACCACACCTCGAGGTCAGCAGACGCATGTCCCAATTCCTCGGATTAATTAGACAGACCCCCGTGTTTTCATTAGTCTTACCCTAATCCACTCTTGAAGTTACCACAATTTACCATTACGTATTGTTTCGCCCTCGGAGAACAGTGTCCGAGCGGGGCTGGCCTCCTCGAAAATCAATAAACTTAAAGCAGGGGTGTAAGGAATGTGAATGGACAGGGCAGCAGGGCCAAGTGTGCAACCATCATTGCTTCATGTGTAGTTCAGTATTGTAGGAATCCCACAGGACTTCTGTAGACTGGAATTGGAAGTGTGCAGAGGATGTCTTCTCCTTTGTAAAGTTTGGCAAGAGACACTTCCATAATGTAGACTATAATGTATATTTCAGGAGGTCAAAACACGCTGAAGGCAGTAATATAATGACACAAAATGGCTGCCTGCAACCTCTAGACGAAATTGGAATTTTAAAACCTTTGTGCAGGCCAGAAAAAATATAAAATTCTTAGATATAAAATAAATGTACTAAGTCTTATAAAAGATAACATCATCATATGATATATCATATTCCTTTTTACATTCAGTGTTTACAAAGTACCTGACTCCACGATACCTGTAGTCATTTAATACGCTGCATATACTAGTGCCTCGTAACAAAAGACACTTTCCCATAGATTTCCTTTCATTAATTTGTGGAGGGGAGGTTTCCTTTTCCATTAATAACTGCGACACCAGCTGTCAGTAACACAATGCACCAGATATTCACACTGCATGATTGGACCATTGCCAGATCATAACACAGTGGTTCATATTGAGGTTCCGTATGTGTTTTTTTAGGTTTGAATCATTAATGCTATTTTACATGGGAAAGATTGGAATGTACTACTGATATTGTACTGCAGGGGGATTATGGCGGTGCCAAAACAGTTTCACAATACAGACATAGAGTGTTCTAAATTGTGATCTCTCAGGGCTCAAAATATTGGGTGCATATCATATGCACCTTGGGACACCCAGAACTGGAGCAGTGTATTGTAGCTTGAAGTTGAATGCCTACATGTATATGCTAAGTCTTAAGATAGGCAAAGGTTATTTATGGATATGGCAGCCACTGCATCCCTGCATATATCGGCTGATTGATGTAGATAAAAATACACGCCACTCATTTGTTTATGGTGATTGTTTGCTTAGCATTCTTCTTAATTTTATGTCTGTAACGTTTATGGATATTACTTTGAGATGAAAGTAGCAGTTTATTTTGGTATTTGTACATTGGATGAGATAATGATAAAGATGATGATAAAGAGCAGGGAAGAAACTTTTCATAATCAACTTGCATTTCAATGTGATGAAACAATCATACAATGTACAAAACAGCCATAATTTGTGGCAAATGCACAGTTAATGTCTGTGACATTATATTTATATCATGTTTTGTATAAGAGGAATTCAAAGAAATCTGATCTTCATATGCACTTAAAGCTATACAAATGATAGCTTAAGCATGAAGTTTACAACACTGTATAGATGTTTTGTAGATAGAATTTCAAGCCCTCTAACCAGGATATAGCTTCCATAATTGCCTTCTTTCTACATAAGCCTGTGCCCTTGGAGATACCAGTGTGCAAGAACCATTGTCAATAGGTATACATACATAGATTACACACCCCAGTGCTCCAGCCAATTTCACTGCTCTTCATGCAGAAAATGCCAGACTCCTGTACTCCTAGGTACCAAAACCTTTAACCTTTTGAATAATGAGTTAAACCAATGCAGTTGTGGTAAATATTGTAGTGCATAACAAGTGGAAGGTTAAACTTATCAACTTACGTCTGACAAAAAAAGATTTAAAAAACAAGGATAAGTTTATTGATAAAGCAAAATGTCAAGTGTGAAATTCGTTTTCAAGATAAATATTTCTAGCTGTAATGACAATTTTTTGTCGCTCTATTTTATCACCAGCAAAAATTTTGGCCTTGTAGGGTAGAACACTTACATCCACCTACATGAAACAAATAGTATCCGAGAGATCTTCTCTAAGGTATGCAATTTCAAGCCTAGGCACTTGATCCAAGTTTCCGTTTCCTCCGCTAACTTTCCATGGTCCAATAAGCTGGCAGATCTCCCAGTTTGCTCTGTAGGATCTCCTTCCACATATGGGCATTATATTGTTTCTGTAGAGCTCAGCCATGAACAGGAGAAAGCTGGGAATATATAGCTGCTGGAGTTAATGGTTTAATGTTTCAGTTTTATGCCGAGTACCATCTATATTGAAAGCCTTGCCATCCCTCCAATAGGCTCGTACTATACGTAATATGCTGGAAGTTTATTTCAATGCTTTTCTTGAGAGAGACTTAGTATATTGTTTCTAGTCTTCCTTCTTTACAATCTTCTTCCTTCCCCTTTGGTTTTCTGGTTGCCCGTTAATTATCTAATTTCCATGTTATATTTGATACTACAAACAAATGTTTCAACTATGCTATGGGTAATCCACTTTTCTTCTACCCTTTCTCATTGAACAAAAACCCATCTTACCAACACATCAATGAGTGAGTACCACATGTTGTAGGCAGCTGGTCCTGTACCACTTGATGTGTTTGATAATTCTAATTGGAGATTATTTGTGAGCTAACCATGTTGGTTTGCCACCTTCATTATTCTAAAAACAGGTGCATTTTGCTACGTAACTGTACGGTGATGCAAGCATGCAGATGTCAGTCATACTTGCCAGCTAGGAAGTAAAAAAAATTGGCCAATGACTGTCAAAGAACAGCAGCTTTTGATTCAAATGACTCTAATCTTCAAATCTCCAACAGATGGAAGGTCTGGGTCTGTTTTACCCAATTTTTAAAGGCTCTTTATGTCTATTTCTAGTGGCCCATGACCAGTAGAAAGATTAATGAAAGAATTAAAAGCACATGTAAAACACTGACCTGGACCCTACATCTGCTTAGAGATAAGCAATCTTTGCCAGTGCCATGACCTGTCAATCTCAGTAGGATTCCTCAGGCTCCGCCCACCAAAGTGTAGCAGGTGTCCCATTTTGTAGGATTGACCTGTGGTGACCTGGTATTATTCTAGGGAAGTCTGGGCTCTCAGGAGCTTCATGCCTCAGAAGCTCTGGCCAGACAGAGTATTGCTTTGATATATGTGGCCAATTATGCAAACTGTACTTACATGTCATTTTAATGGCAGTTGCACATTGTAACTTGTGCAACAAGCAATTATAATCATCGTTTAATCATACATCCGATTAACCCCTTCTAGAAGCTTCTTGATCTTGTAATGAATTGTAATGAATCTTCTTACAAATACACTATACACAGAAAGTTGTACCTAATGCCTTTTTTGTACTCTTAGAAATCTATCACTTGGAGCTACTTCCTCCTTATCAGAGTTGCTTTTTGGTCTCAAATTTGTATTGGGCATACATCATTACATGAGTACATGTACATGTAAGGTTAGGCAGTAGTGAGATTACCCTGTTCATACTGCAGCATGTTTTAATCTACACAGAACAAAAGCAAGACCTTTATTCATTCACTTAGGCTTTCATTGTGTCAAAGGTGACTAACACCATCACATACTGCATTCTACAGTGCTATTATGTAAAGGCAATGGCCTCCCGTAGGCCTGAAGCTAACCAGAGTTTCTCCTGGATTATCCACCATTATTTTCATGCTTCCAGCAAAAGAGAAAGTCTTTTAGCAACATTACCTGAGGCAAAACCTAACAGCCCATTTGTTATCACCTTTATAGACATTTCTGAAGTTCATAATGGGTTTCCTTAAGACCACAGGGTGATAACTTATCTCTGAGTTCCTTCAGGGTGTTTTCAGTGCTACATTCTCTGCTGTATGTTTCATTTATGGTTGTTCTCGGGGGGTTTCTCCATTGCCAGACAAACCAAGGTGGGGAGCCCAAAGGGTAGACACCTTCGTTAATGGAGGCACTGATCTCCACAGGCAATTGTCACTCCTGACATGTAGGAGTGTAGAGAGACTTGGAATGGGTGTCTTGAAAGGGCATTAATAATACACAGAGTGGTAGACATTATGCTAATACATTGCTGCTGGTATATAAAACCTACTGACTTGCCCTTCTCTGTTGCAGTGTGTATTTCATTTCAGAATAGGGGATACAGCTGGAAGTCTACGTCTATACCCTTGTGTTCAGATTTCTGTTATGATATACAGTGTACAGCCTTTGGTGTTGTAGCCAATGTATTATGATGTTAAATTCTTATTCTGTATTGTATACAGCCCCCGATATTGGATAGAAACATTGAAGTGTCTGACCTTGGTGCTGAACTCACTGTTATACTGCTGTTGTATCACATGCTGATAGCAGCAGAGTTTGTGTTGAAATTGGCAACAATTCTAGGTGAAAACTACAGAATAAGTGATGAAAATATGTCTGGGATATGCCATTATTATACATTGTAAGTTACGAATGACAATAACCATGTGATGACATGTTTCTGCCAGGACTGCCAGAACCGTATTTAACATTCCTGTTTTATGTTTCAGCTGGTGGGAGGGAAGTTTGACCTTGAGGTGAACTTCATCATTAAGGAGCCGGAGAGTATTCTGCACATGTTAGAACTGCTGGATAACTGTTCAACCACCCTGCAGGTAAGCCGGGCATTCTGGGTAACTTCTGGAAACAAGATGGCCGACAATGGCGGTGTATGAACTGTAGGAAGACTTACAGACATTAAAGTAGACATAACAAACAAATACATGAAGAAGCTCCATAATTTCTTTCACAACAACATTCTTACAGTAATACATTGAAACATCGCTTGTCAACCACAGAATAATGTTCAATGGCTACAGTGGCTGCATTGTACTCATAACTTGGAAGAAACTGGAAGAAGATATTATAGCCCAGAATACTGAGAAAACAGCTAACAACAGGCTTAGTATGCCACAATAACCTACTTTATATCTGCCACTTTTCATGTGATTTCATCTTTTCGCCTTCAAAATAATTGTAATGGATAGGATTTCTTCTGGCAGAGTGGTTGTCCCCTTTTATCACAGTTTATTGTGTTTGCCTTTCTGTGCATAATGCATTTAGGTCACCACAATGTTAGATGTATCAGAAACAATGTGTGCTGACAGGTCAAGATTCAGACATTCTTGGCTTATTTGAACATCATTTCAGGATGTATAGTTTAGGGGAATTTCTCCACTACCATGCTGTAGGCTATTGCTGAGTGAATATTAAATTTACAGCTTTTTAGGGGGGAGGGGGTCAAAGTCAATGGGGCAGTACACAGGCAAATAGGCAGTTCTTTTGCTCAATTCTGACAAATACACCCCTCAAATCGGGAGATATAATCGAATGCCTTTGAAACATGTCATGAACCATGATGTATCAAGATCTTTGATTAAATCCATGCCCTTCCAGTCACAGATAAAATGGTCTTATTCGGCAAAATGGGGGCATTTGGGTTACGGATTTTGCCCTTGGTACAGGCCCCATACAATAAAGCAAATAACGTCCCATCACTGCTGAGCTTCTCTCGGCACTTATTCTCCCAGAAATGGGACACTACGGAACCCTGCCAAGTTCCATCAATTTGCAGAATGTTCCAGTTCAGATTCCTAGATACTATTCAGTGCCCCGGTGTGCAATGGAATGTGAAAGGGCACATCCCAAGGATTCCTATGACCTTCAGTTAATCAATAGAGGAGCAAGGCTGCTCTCTTGTGTTGGTGATGAGGAAGATGTTTCCTTGCTGGTCGGGGGATTAAGGGCTGTCCATCATTTAGTAGGAATAGATAGGGATAGGGAAAGACCATTATACAGAGGGGGTAGTGCAAATCAGGGAATGGCCACTGCGCAATTGGTGCTGGTTGGGATCAGGGAGTGACCATTACATGCTAGGAGCTAGAGAATGGGACTAGTAGAGAGATAGGGAGCAACCATAAGACTAGGGGGGTGCTTGTAGGAATTAGGAAGTGACCATTGTAGAGGTGGAGCTGCTAAAGACTAGGGACTGACCACTGTACAATTGGAATTGCTAGGGATTAGGAAATAACCATGATTATAACATGGCATGTGGTGGGAATAGGAATGACCATAATGATTCTACATTGGGCTTGTAATTTGTACACGAAATTCTTTTGTCAAAGATACAAATGTATCCATTATCAATATGTTCAGTATGCAAAAGCTTACTTCTTTTCTTGTATTGATGAAATTTGCCAGCAACATTTTACCCATCTTGAAACGTGTCCTTCTATGTAGATATTCGGTCAATATACAGTACATTGACCTGGGATGCTGCAATACTTCATAGTAAGTGGCGCAAGTCACAAGGTAACATCACATGTAGGGAGCTCTAGAAACAGAAAGCAATCATGTATCAATGTCAGCTAGTTAGAGTCAGATAACCAAAGAGTTGGTGATTTATAAAAGGGTTGGGGGTGAGCAGCACATGAGCTATTTGCTGCCAACCCTTATTTTAGACGACCCACTGAGTCGCAATATTGACAATAATCTCTTTGGTCACAGAAGGTCAAGAATTACGTACACCTATTGGCATCTTTTGTTGATTTTGTGCTCTGTGGAGTTTCAAAGATTGTATTCACACCTGGGGGAAACGAAATGATTCAAGACATTTTAGTAATGTTTTTTCATAAACACAAGCTGACAATATTGTTGAAGGAAGGGTTGTATAAGGAATAATCTGGAATGTATTCATGAACATGTTTAGCATGTGAGCTTGTACAAGTTTAAAAAATCATTTAGATGTTTCCATTTAGATGTTTCTTCTCATACCTCTTTTTCTTTGGATTCATGCATTGCATTTTTTTATTCAATTTCCAAAGCAATTTGTGCATTTTCACACCTGCAATCCTTCTAGTCCATTCATATACAGTATGATATTGTCATAATTGCCATCAACATCGACAAATCATTCATGTTTTTGGTTCATTATACATTTAAAGAGGGGGAGCCAATGTCCTCTTATGAAATGATGTCACTGATTACAACACCTTGAGATGTCATATTTCTCATATGCCAAATACATACTGTAGTAATGCAGACCTTCAAACCATCTTCTCAATAATAGAAATCATTTACAGCATGTCAGTCAGTCAAAATGACTGGTACATTTGATATCATCCTGTGTTATGATTTCTTATCAAACCTTGATACACACATGTAATGTACATGTAATGACAGTCAACCATACTTGCTTCCATTCTTTCTTTGCTGCTCATTCCAAATGTCAGCAGGTACGTATACAGCAGAAGTTGTCTCCATCGATCACCACTGACCTGCACCCCGTCTGCTGTGTGTCCTGTCTCTGGACTCCGCTTCTGAACCTTGACACCTGTTTCCAGCACCTGTTTCTAACCACCTTCACCTGCTTTCAGCATCTGTTTTAACCACCTTCACCTGCTTTCAGCACCTGCTTCAAGCATCTGTTTCTAACTGCTTCCACCTGTTTCCAGCACCTGTCACAGCACCTACATTTCTAACCACCTTCTATCCTACTTTGTGCCTGAACCAGTACCCTGATCTTACGTTGAATGAAAGACCTTCATTGTACATTTATACAAGCTAAGTACAGGTCATGTATAAAGCACAGTGATACATGACATCTTGCTAATATATAAAACTTACAGAGATATCTAAATCTGTTGTAAACTTTGATGGACTGTGTATGGAGTATTGACCAAATTGAGACTGAAGTGTGGAAAAATTGTTCAGCTTTGAAATGAGCCAATCTGATGTTTTCAGAATACTGTTTTAATGTTTCTTCCCAGAAACGTCTGTCCAAAGATGAGCCTAATGTCTGTATTACTGCTCCGTTGAATGAAAATCATGGAAAGTGTATAGAACATTTGGTTTGAATTCTGGACCATTTGAAGGGGTTCTTATGCTATATACATGTAGTAACAATCTCCATAAAGAGCACCACTGTTCTTTAGTCTTCTGAAAATTCCATACTCTCAGCTATTTCTTGTCTCCAGAAATGCTACACATGTAATCTAAAGACTTCAGTCTGCTTCCTTACCCCGTACTTCTGTAAAGACTTTGTGTGCACATGATGTTGTGATGTTTTGATATCTTGAATCTACAAGGTTATGTGACATGGTGCTCTGGTTGTTTCAGTCTTGTCTTTACAACAACGTACAACGTACTTCAGTCTGGTTTCATGATTGTGCAGTACATGTAAATGTCAGTCTTTACAACGTATCAGCTTTTTGAAGTAGTTAGATATTACCAAGTTCTAATTATAGCTACATTATCAAGATTTTTCACTCTTACTGATTTGTAAATGCTTCTTGTCAGTACTGTTGAAGAAATTATGGATACATTTCACTGAACAGATCCATATAGAAAAGTGATGACTATACGAAATGAAAGATTTTTAGAGTAGGCAGCTTTTTATGTGCAAGCCACAAAGTAGTTAGATTAGAAAATAGATATGCCAACCTTGTTTCGGTTTCTTTTAAGTGTGTTGTGAACTAATCATGCTGTTAATAACATACCAATGTATTACCTCCTACCCTTCAATTTCTTGCCTATATTTGGTATAAATTTGATTCTCCATTTCACTACTGTACTTTTGGGGAACAGCTCTATAACACGCTAACAAATATATTATGAGTAGTCTACATGTAGTTCCTAGAATAAATCTAGAGTCCAGTACTTATTTTCTGTGTCCGTGGTGCAGGCTGAGATCTGGAGCATGTTTAACGCTATCCTGAGGAAGAGCACCCGTAACCTGCAGGCCTGTACCGAGGTCCATCTCATTGAGAAGATCCTGCAGAAGCTGCCCAGCACAGACGACATGATCGCAGGTGAGGACAAGTTCTGTACGTGGACAAGTTCCTCTGATCTTTTGTCATTTTCTACTGCAGTACCCTGGTGGTTAACAGCCAACTTCCAGTAGGGTTAAAACTCAGCCTTGATGCTGCATGGCTCACAAATTTGATGACATTGTCCATATCAAAGGCACAAGATGACATGGAAAAGCTATGTACACTCTATTAGCCATATTTCTGTCTGTTCTGCAAGGCTGAGATGGAATGAAACTGGAAGTTGACTTGTCCCGCTGTTCTCTCTCTGATGTTTTATGAGAGAGGTACAGAAGAATCATGGAATTATGTATAATTTATCTTTCTTATGAAAATCAGCATTCTTTCTCAAGAGTTCAGCAAATTGGTAATGTCCATCTGTAGTCTGAGGGTCACAGGTGCGTTGTGGGAAATGTAAAGATGCTTTTTACTTCTTGCCTGGAATTAGTAAGTGAGACGTAATTTCTTTCCTCCTCTGCAATGTGGTAGTGTATTTTTGTTAATGGGTAATTTGGGTACAAGGTTACACATTAGAAAACCCAAGAGGATAAAGGTAACGATTCTGCATACTAGTGGTACAAGGTTAATCTGTACATTGTATTTTACTGTCTGGGTTCAAGGTAAGGTTTCTTATTAACATTGCTAACACAAACATGATGTGGGGAAAAACAAACAAACAAACAAACAAGAAAAACTGACTCCTGAATATGATATTTTTTGCATTGTGAAAGAAGGTGCTTGTCCTAGCTGGACTGCCTGATTATTATTATTGAATGGAATATTTATTAAGCATATTGTAATTCTGTTAAAAACTGGTGATAGCACTGTCGACACTTACTAACATGGTTACTCAGCACTTAAGCGCCATTTTGTGGTACACTGTGTCCATTTTAACTTGGTACAAGAACCATCATTGTAATGCATTATAGATAAGGGTGACTCAATTAGAAGGACTAAATGGCAATTTGGCAGAGTGTCAGAGATCTAATTGCCTTGAATTGCTCTGATTAATTGAGAAACACTTCAGACATCACTGTGAATTAAGCCATGAAGTCAGAACCAAAGTAACTTCAATGGTATTTTTTGTGTGCAAAGCAAGGGGCTTCAAGACGTTTTAACATGATTGGCAAAAGCAGTATAGTCCTGTAGTTCCAACATCATATATGAGAAAAGCATGTATAGACCAAAGTTTCTAATTGGTATGCTCACAGTTTTGTTGCCTACATTTCAGGCTATAAAAAAAGCTGTTAACATGAAATCTGCACTGTGAGACCTTCATGTTACCTCATGGTATCCTCTGAGGTTTAAACATCCAGATGCTTCGTCCCATGAAAAATCAAGTGGTTATGAATCCTGGGAACAATTTTGACCTTTTTATAATGGATATATTGACCTCTACCTTGGCGCCCCCCTCCCCACAGACCTGTTGGTGGACCTACTGGGCGTGCTGGCCAGTTATAGCATCACAGTCAAGGAACTCAAGATACTGTTTGGTATGCTGAAGGGAGACAAGGGAACTTGGGTAGGCTGACTTATAGTATTCTGCTGTCTTTAATAATTTGCTGACACGTGTCTAACCCTAGACATGCCAGGATTAAATAAAATAACCATACCAATATGTACATTTTGTCTGGCTTTCAAATTGCATGTCCAAATTTCAAAAATACTATTTTGTGACTTTTTTTCTGTATTTGTCTCCACCAAGCCTGTACATGCAGTCAAACTGCTGAAGGTCCTGAGACAGATGCCACAGAGACATGGGCCTGACACATTCTTCAACTTCACAGGGAGACACGGCTCTGTAAGTAAAAGTCTTACCGGTATCTGTTCCTTACAGCTGACACTATCGGCAGTCCTCATATATAATAAAAGCAATAACTGCAGTCCTCTTATAAAAGCAATGAAACATTCTAAGGTCATTTTACTTCCTCAAATAATGACTGTTTGAATTTTTTTGTTCAAATTTGTATGTGCATACATTGTAATCATCATCTCGACAGTAGTGAACCATTTCAAAGCGAGGATGATACAGAAGGAACTTTTCTGCATTTGCTCACTAATGTAGACCTTCTAATAAAATGTGCATTTTCCCAGTGATGCACACACTGGATTTGCTGGTGACACGCTCATTTTTGCCATGTCATTGCCTTGACTTGCACCTGTATGTCCTTACCAGGCCATTGCCCTGCCACCGCTGGCCAAGTGGCCGTACCAAAGCGGCTTTACCTTTAACAGCTGGTTTCGCATGGATCCGCTTAACACCATAAACGTGGACAGGGAGAGACCATACCTGTACTGGTAAGTTTTACCTGTAATATTTAAACCCATGTATGTCCAAAAAAGATCAGGAAGACGTTTGTAGTGTGCCTTTTGCTACTGATGCAGAATATACCTAAATCATAAAAACTGCTCAGTGGAAAGTTTATTGTGCCCATATTAGAAAAAGCTTTGTAGCAGTTTTTGTTGCATGACACCTAACTTCAAGGATTTATCTTGGTGGTAAAAATGATTCCCCTTTTCTCCTAGTTTCCGGACCAGTAAGGGAGTTGGATATTCGGCACACTTTGTCGGGTCATGCCTGATTGTCACTGCTCTGAAGGCCAAGGGCAAGGGATTCCAGCACTGTGTGAAGTACGACTTCCAGCCTAGAAAGGTGAGTCTTAGACAGAAAAAAGGAGTGGTCCATCGGCAGAAGACAAAATGTAATGAACTTCATATGAGGTAATCCTGACCCATTATTGACCCATACTATATTGGATTGTTCCTGATTGTGATTTCATTTTTCGTCATTGAGGGACCTTTTGTATGCCAAAGGTGAAAACATAGTTTATGGGGCCAGCCATTGGAATTTTGTTGCTTCTCCTCCTAGCCAGACTTTGTTGTACCAGCCCCAGCACAGGTTTACTTATGAATCTTGCAGGATCACTGAAGAATCCCAGACACACGACATTACCAAGTAAAATTATTCTCCTGTAGGCGAGGGGTTCAAAGAGTCACACTATTTGCAAAACAACACACACATGCTTTAGAGCACACCTGGTGCGGGCTGGAGGATTTCATTTGGAAGGCTGCAAGCACAGTATCACTGAATTTAAAGCAGTTCATGTCAAAATAGAAAAGGTGAGAATACATGATGTAGTGTATACCACCTTTGTCTGGTATTGTAAAATTTTCCCTAATGTTACCCAAATTTTGTTATTATTGACAATTTGGTTGTATGATATACATTTGTACTTTGCTACAGGCATGTTTCGATTGTTCTACATTGGTTGACCCCATAAAAGTTTTATGCCAGTAATTTCCCAGTAGTGGTGTCCCCATGTTTCATAGATTTTTGCACATTGCTTACAGTGCTAGTTGTCCCTGGGGATATCAATAGCTAGCCCGTCAAATTCATTAAGAATACCAATAACTTAGAAAGTAGGACAAAGATTGTGTTTAAAAGGTCAAAAAGTGACTTTGGATTTTCCCCCAGACCTTCTGTCCTGCTAAGATTAGTAAGACATCTAAAAGGCAGGTCATGTGGTACATTGTATGTGTGCCTAACTAACTAAATTTTGATCATGGTCTGTCCTCTACAAACTTTCTATGTTGAAATGGCCTTTTTGTGAAGCACTGTTGTGTATAAAGAGGTTTTTGTCACATATCAAATAAAGAGAAATACATAACCCTACAGTGCTTGTGCTAATACTCAAGGCATTGGATAAAGCACCAAAGCTATAAAGGTGCATTAATTCTCTATGGACACTTCATATTAAACAAAGCTTATTCATTATGTACATACTCATCATGATGAGATACAATGTAACTACAGCAAATCTCTGACGTTTCCTAATGGAATAATAACAATATTGTGCTTTTTCCCATTCTCCTCCTACACAGTGGTACATGGTGACCATTGCACACATCTATAACCGCTGGAGGAACAGTGAACTGAAGTGCTACGTGAATGGGAAACTGGTGTCATTTGGGGACATGGCCTGGCACGTCAATACTAGCGACGTAAGTACACGTCTTTCAAGATTCACAAGCTGTATCTGTTTCTGTATAGCCGGTGTAAACGCCCCTTGGTGTAACAAGCCAGCTTTGCAGACACGTGGCGCAGCTGTGGCTGGCTATATTACACTGAACAACTTGTGATGACACCTAACCCTTGACCATCTAACTCTAGACATTGTTTAAAGCTATCTAGTGAGGGTGTGCCTACTGTACTTTTTGGCAGTGAGTTCCACTGTACAATGTTCTAAGGAAAAATGAGTTTTTGAACTCCCCAATCCTTGGTTGATAACTCTGGTACTTGAAGGCCTGACAATCCTACTGGTGTTACATCATTAGGTCACACCAATTTTATTTGTTCCTTCTTGGATTTAAAAAGTAATAATGCTTAATAAAAAAGTATGATAAAAAACGGAACACAAAAGTATCCCTGTAAAATGCACTAGTTCGTAAATTTACTTTCTCCCACTTCGCTCACAAAATATAAGTTTTAAGTCATTTGTATATATATTGGTAATGATAATCTTGTAGACAGGACATTTCCCTTAATCTGTTATTAGTTCTAGATAAGAGGCTATCATAGATATTTTACTGACTCTCAGTAAGCTCCTCAATCCACAAACATATGCTCGGCATGATGTGAGTCTAATTAAATAGGGATAGATGTTTTGTGGATCATGTACAGAGACTGCTTTTACGATAACAGGATTACTTCAAGTTGATTATGTTGCTTTGATTGTTTTTATGAAAATGAGTATCTGATCCTTTGAGAGGTAGAAATGTAAATTATATATAGACAAACTGAAGCCATGTTTATGCTGCAATTTGTGAAAATAAGACTGCACTAATTCAATATCTTGTTCAACCTCCTTTTTGTAATTGGTCAAAACAGAAAGTGTTTTTCTCTAGCATCATGAAGATTGAAAAGCTACAATACTTGAATTGTCCTACATTTTGTACATACATGTATGTGCCAAGGACAATGAGGAATTATGTCCTCTTTGTACCTTTGCAACAGCTACTATCAAGACCTTGACTGTGTATCATGTATGTTCACCCCAAAAATTTGTCACTTCTACATGGCCTAGGAATAAAATCTACATGATGTTTCATCCAGTAGAATGAAACCTACATGTAGTTAAACTTGACACCTAGTTACACTTGACACCTCCATTTTACATTCCAAAATGACGTCATTAAATAAACTTCCAATATCATCACCTTTCATCAGCATCACCACAAAATTCTTCATTTTTATGTGGAGGAAGACGATTCAAATCCCCAATCCCCCCGAATGTATAACTATGTAATTCCTGGGATGCAGCATCCATTAACATGACATGAGCTGTGCCTGATTGATTTTTCATGGGTTTGTGAGATGGAAAATTGCAGGCGTTGTCCTGGTTTATTGCATGAGACAGCTGCGATCTCCTGTCCCTGCTCGGTGAATGCCACAGGAACGTACAACTGATTGGATCTAAATGAGAATTTGCATCTGTCACTGCTGTTTGGATAGAACCTGATAATATCAATATAACACCAATATAGCAAGCCATCATGCCACTAGTACCTCTGTTGCAATATCATGAAGCTGAATTTTAATATTGGGACTGCATACCAGTACATGTATGTGCATGTGCGTGATACTGTATATCATGATTTTCAGGCTAAACATGTTCACCATAAAAGGCACCAGAAAAAAAGACAAAATGTTATGAGCAATTTTCTGCAGGACCTGTTTTATATTTATTGCTTAAATACCTTAAATGTTTTATTAAAACATATCTAGAGTTTCAGGTAAATGCTTCTAAATGCAACAATAATGTTGTAAATTCATTATATCAGTGTTTGAGTCTAACCTTTAAATGTATATCTGTATTTTATAAAAATTGACCCAAAATGATGTCACAGTCTTATATACCCTCTTGTATATCATCAATTATACTCAGCCCAAGGCAACTTCCCAGCCACCAAGGCCATACATGTAATTCAGATGATACACTGGTATACAATCCTGATTAACCTACTTATTGCACCCTGGGAATGAAAAATCAATGAAATAATGGTACATAGTGGGGAAGTATCATTGCCCTCAGCACTCTACAGCCCATACCTATTGGGAACCTGTTACGGGAAGACTTCCCTGTGTGAAATTCTGCACTGTTGGTACCATTACCTAACGGTTTATTAAGATAAGGTTCTTACTAATGGGACACCTCGTTAAGCTAAGGTCCCAATTACGCCGGTGCCCGTCGGGGATGTAGCCCAGGCTGGCCCCGGCCGGGTTCAGGAGTCGAGCGGGCATCGGCTGTCGTGGTCACAATTAAAAGTTTCCTTCAGTAGCATTTTGTTAGAAATTTGTCACCCTCTTTGGTCGGTATCCGGCAGGCACCCGGCAGGTACCCAGCAGATTCTCTGACGATGTCTTGTACTGACCTATACGTAATGCAGAATTCACGTATTTGTTGTGATCATTTGATCTGTGACGTCACACATTTTACCTGGGTTTACGAAGTACACACCTTTATTCTGTTCATCTGGTCTGTGACGTAAGAAATGTGTCCCGGTGGAATGCCGGCAACCGGAGGGGTACCTCTCGGTGTTCTCACGATGAGGTCACGGCGTCTTGTTGTCAGCGGGGCCGGGTAGAATTTAAATCAGAATTAAATTCTTATCGGGGCCCCGACGGGCCAAAAAATAGCCCTGTAGCCGCAGGGTGCCCCGCGGGGCCACGTCGGGGTCCCGCCCGAAAGTGGTAAAAAACAGCCCGGGAACTACCCGCCAGGGCCCCTTTTCCCAATTGGGACCTTAGCTGTAGTGGGGTGATGAGGATGTCAGCTGACGGATGCCCTATTGCCCCAGATAAAAATTGTCACACAGATGAGAGCAGTAAGTAAGACGACTTGATATGCAATAAGGATGTGTGGGTGTATAGGGTGTTAAGAGACTGCTATTTTCAAAGTTTTGTGTCCCGTACTTTCAAAATACATGCAGACGAATCGTAATAGCTGAAATAGGCTCCACATCCAATTGAGATACTAGGCTTTTCTCATGAGAGGAACCAGCTTAACGAAGTCTTAATAGGAATACCTGCAAGTAAGCGTCTAGCTAATACCCTTAAAGGGCAGAGGATGAATGTAGTTTACTCTGAATTGCTGAGACCCAGTTTTTGTGGCTGGTGTAACAACGTTAATGTGATGGTTTAGGTACAAACCATAAAGGACTGTAGGGAGGGGTGACATGGTGAGATTTTATCAAAGACTGCATAAAAATGATGGTAACAACAACATCTACAGGAGAAAGTTGACAGAGAAAATTCTAAACTTTACACAACCAGTCAAACAGGAGGTATGTCATTATAATGTTTCCATACAACCCCTCAACAATTTAATGGACTGTCCCACACTAGAATGCCATGTTATTGCTTAGGTAGACAAAAGTACCGTCCTGGTAGCCTTCAGGGAATTACCACTTACATCCCCCCCTCTGTATGGGTAATTGTTCACCCAATGGAAAATGTCAGAAGCAAGAGGGCGTTGGGAATAAAGGCCAGACTACAAATAGCAATTCTGAGCTAACTCAGACAATTTACAATGGCGTCCCTGACACCACGGAAAGGTCAGAGTGTGACCTTACTTCATGATATGCTTAATAATGGATTTTTGTAAGCTAGCGACATCCAGGAAGGATTGGAATGGAGCTAGTTTGTATAACTACTAGGGAGGGAAGATGTAGCTAGGAATTGTACGACATGCTAGAAAATGTACTTATTGTAACATTATATTCGAACACAGTAAGACAGTAGGGGAAGTCACTGTTTTTGCTGAAAATGGAATGTTGTGTTGTGGTATCTTTCCTTGGTGCTGAAAGTACAGTGTTGTGCACGGGCAGATTGTACTGTTCCTGCTAAAATGGACTGTTGTGGTATCTTTCCTTGGTCTGAAAGTATAGTTTTATGCACTGACAGATCTTTGGGTCATGAATGATTTAGGAAAAGTGCAAATAAAGCAAAATCACTACATTTGTGCAGGGAATGATTTGTTCACTAAGCTTTAGTACTTAAACAATGACTGCTAAGTACTATTGATGTACGTGTAATTCGTTGTACAAATTCAGTAACTGAACTATGTGTTGCAAGGAGGATTTTAAAGCTTATACTCATGGTAATTATGCAGAAACCACAACATGTTACTTGATGTTGTTGTGTTTTATTTTTCCTGTAGACATTTGACAAGTGTTTCCTGGGTTCGTCGGAGACAGCGGATGCTGACCGTGTGTTCTGTGGGCAGATGGGAGCTGTGTATGTGTTTGGGGAGGTACTGAGTGCACATCAGGTGTCAGCTATCTACCAGTTAGGACCTGGATACATGGTGAGTTAGCACATCCATTTCACATTGCAAGTATAGTTGTAGAATGGCTTATTTCTCTAGAACGACAGCCTAGTTGGGTCCCCAGGGCCATATTGTCATACTTGTCTACATATACAGAGACACATTATAGATATACTACTCTATCATGTTTGAATGTCATGAATATGAATATTTGTGCTTTTTCTCTTCAGAACCAGTTCAGGTTTGAGTCAGAGAGTGACCTGCTACTCTCAGATACCCATAAAAAGGTAAGTACTCATTCAGTCTGGATTATGCAATGTTATGCCAAATTTACATAAATGCTGCTTTTTAATGACACGCAGTACATGTTGTTTAGGCTGTTATTTGTGACATTGCATAACATTCCCCGAATCATCATCAAGGTTTGATGTAATTTTCTGAACATAGGAAGAAGCCGATCGGTAATGAGAAAGAACAACAAATCCTGGCCAACCATCTACATTTTGTATCCAACTGTTGTACATTACATATACATATACATGTACATCCTTTCCTTCCATAGTGTTTGTATGATGGGAAGCTGTCCTCCTGTATCGTGTTTACCTACAACCCCAAGGCCACGGACGCGCAGCTCTGTCTGGAGTCGTCACCGCGAGGAAACCCATCCTTCTTCGTGCACTCCCCCCACGCACTGATGCTGGCCGTCAGCACTGCTTCGAAGGTCGTGCTGGTGAGTGGGAGATAGAGGAAGAAATGAATTAATGAACAAATGAACGAACAAACAAACAAGTGAATACGCCAAAAAACAGTTACTCAAGCAACTGGATATGATTTTGAAAACGTCAGACGTTTCAGCTAGTATCCACTAGCTTTCGTCAGTGACTGAGAGACCAGAGGGGAAAGCAGGTTTATAAACACAACCTATTGATTGATATGCAAATAAAGTGAAGACAAGTTTTTGGAAGTCGAAAAAGGAACAAAAGTCAGACAAGTCAAGACAAGATGATGCAAATTAGTCTGAAAGCTCCTGTTATACGGAACAGGAGCTTAAGTGTTGTCTGTCCTCGGGGCTGGGAGTGCCAAATCCCAAGTGCCGGAAAGATTGACCCGTAGCCCCCCTTCCCTGTTGAGGGTGGGGTTGTACATTCTTTCATATATTGCCTCTTTAACACCCCGTTCCCACCAGCGTGTTTCGCGGTCTAAGACATCCGTGGACTCGAGTTTGAAAGAGTGACCCTGGTTGTGTTGTAGGTGGTGGAAAATAACTGAGGAGTAGCCGTTGGCACTAGGTCGGCAATGTTCTTTGTACCTTACTTTAAGCGGTAAGGTCGATCTTTCCGATGTAGGTGTTGTTACATTGGGCTCCTCACATTTGAGTCTGTAAATAACATTCGCCTTGGTACCCTTGTGAGGTCGGTCCTTAGGGTGTACCAGTCTTTGTCTGAGGGTTGAGTGAGGTTTGAAGTTAGTGGCTATGTTGAAGTTTTGGAAGATCCGTCGGAGTTTCTCAGATACTCCTTGGACATACGGAA